TATTAAAATATATAAAAAATTTTGTTCAAAAAAATTTCAAAATATGACCTGGCTAAGTTATGAGAACCAAAAAATTAAGTTTATATGGCCTAATAATAAGTTATTTGTTAATTTATAAAAAAAACTTTGAGTAAAAGTTTAATAGTTGAATTACAAGATATATTATTGATCTGATTAAGATAATCAAGAGAAATATAAAAAAAAGAATCAAGAAAATACAAAAGATAAATAGAAGTGTAATTAATATTTTGAGAGATGAAGTTTAAAAATTTTTATCATTTTTTTTTTAGAAAATAAAATTTAGAGACCCAAATTTCTTAATGAAGATTTTATAATGAAATTGAGAGAAGGGTATATGTGATAACAATTGGTGATTTTTATCTTTAATTATAATGAATCAATTGTATTAAAACTAATTATTTAACATACAGTAGTTAATAATCTAATTATAAAGACAATTATAAGTTAATACATGATAATTAGAGGTAAAATTTATATTATTTCTTTTTAACATTGATAAGCTATTTTTATAATAGTAATTGTCTTACCTTATATATATATAATGTTCAGAGTAACTAATAATCAATATATTTGAACATAGAATATGATTTAGAATGGTTAGTGAAATCAGTTGTATTAAATCACATCTGTGGTGCTAAATTATATATACAATATAACATGAAAATCATTATTAAAATAAATAAACAAAAACTTATAAAAATTTAGCTTATATTAGTATTAGAGTTATAGTTAAATTATAAACAAAAGTTTGTATATATCAAAATTATGCAAGAAATTTTTTTTATTAGAACACAAAAAATAGTTTCATAAGGTTTTGACCATCAATTTCAGACAAATTAACAATCAAATTCAGACATTACAGCACTTTTCAATTTACTGTGATCATCAAATTTTGTAGATTACACATTACCAGAAATCTGGAAATTTGGAAATTGACAATTTGATATTCATAATGCCTTAAAAATTAAACTTTTCTTAAACTTTGAACAAAGGTATCTTGACAACCACCAGACAAAATTTAATGAATTCTTATTTATTTAAATTCTGTATATACGTAGAATTTAAATAAAAAAATAGTTTATTAATTTGGCCTGGTGGTTGTTGAAATACCTTTGCTCAAATGTTAAAAAAATTTAACAAAATTTTTCTTAAACTTTGAATAAATATTTTTTGACAACTATCAACCCAATTTTGATAAACTTTTTTTTATCTGAATTCTTTATCTTTAGAATTTAAATAAAAATAAGTTCATCAAAATTGGATTGATAATGTTAGCACAGCTTCTATTTGACTTGTTTTTTTAAAAAACTTTGGACAAAGATATATTGGTAACCACAGGGCCACTTTCTTTATTGAATTTTATGGATTCATAGAATATAATTAAAAAATGTCTATTTAATTTGGTTTAGTAGTTTATGAAATATTTTCACTCAAAGTATGAAAAATTTTGGCAAAATATCTATTTTGATAGATGGTTTGAGTTTTTTTAAAACTTTGAGCAAAGATGTATCTTGACAAATACCAAGCCAATTCTGTCTTTTTTTATTTGAATTCTACAGATTTGTAAAATTCAAATAAGAAAAATTCATCGAATTTGACTTGGTGGTTGTTGAGATATCTTTGCTCAAAATTTAAAAAAATTTTTATTTGATAGATATTTAATTTTTAAAATTTTTGAGCAAGATATCTCAACAGCTACCAAGCCAAATTTGATCTTTTTTTTTAAATTCTAACTTTACATGTTCGTAGAATTAGAAGTCTGTTACAGTTTCTATTTTGATAGATATTGAGATTTTTAAACCTTTAAGTGAAAATATCTTGACAATTATCAAGTCAAATTTGATAAACATTTTTTTATTTGGATGCTAAAGGTATATGGTACATAAAAAAAGGAAAAATTGACTTGTTGGTTGTCGATATTTTTATTCAAAATTTGAGAAATTTTGTTGTAACATTTATTTTGATTTTAAAAATTTTGAAAGGGGATATATCAATAACTGCCAAGCCAAATTTGATAATTTTTTATTTAATTGAATTCTACAGATTCGTAGAATTTAAATAAAAGAAAATTCATTGAATTTGACTTGGCAGTTGTCAAGATATCTTCGCTCAAAGTTTGAAAAAAATTAATAAATATGTTACAAAAAAAATATGAGATTTCTCGTATTATTTAGCTGCACAAACAACCAGCTCTTGTATATTTCTTGATAAAAAATATCGAAAAAGTGAAAATAAAAGAGGAATTTGAAGAATTTTTATTTGCTGCTAAGAAATTTAGATTTATTTGCAAAAAAGCTTTAAATTTAGAGAATTTTGAAGATTTTCGTGTGATGATTAATTATTTGATGATCACAGTAAATTGAAAAGTGCTATAAAGCAATCAAATTCAAACATTACAGCAATTAATTTTAGACATTATAGCAATCAATTTTGAGCATCATATCAATCAAATTTGGGCATCATAGCAATTAAATTTGAACATTAAAGCAATTAAATTCAAACATCATTGCAATCAAATTCGAATAGCAATATTTCACAATATAGTAATTCACTTTGCGGAAATCTTACATTTTTGCAAAAGCAACAAAATATTCTAGATTTAGCATAAATTATTAATTATATAGATCTCTAATAGTAAATTTTCAGGCAAAACACTATTAGCTTTTTACTAGCACTATTAACGAGGTTTTGATAAGGTTTTGACGAGGCTTTTTGACTGAGTATATACAAAAAATTCTTTAGAGAAATCTTACAATTTTATATAAGCCTAATAATTGAATTTTTTAAAATCAATATTAGCCTATTGTCAAGCTTGTTAATTGTGCTAGTAAGAAACTATTAAACGAATAATTTAGAAATATAATAGTATACATTAAGGCTTTTGTAATGATTATGTTAATCTAATAGAAAGCTTTATTAAAGAATTTTATTATTATACTCTTTTTAGAATTTATTATATACAAATATATAAGTAATACAAGAGTTCATTATTACATAGTTTGTTATACTATAAGTATTTTGTTTCAAATTGCTGTGAAGAAGAAATTATTCTGGATGTACTCATTATTTGTTATATCATGTCATTGGAAAAAACAGTTTAAATTACAATAGTGAATAAAAAGAATACTTGACAAATGTAATATGGTAGAAATTGGATAAACCCAATTCAAAGAATTATGTTGAATATGATAGACTGCACAATCTAATAAAAAATCCTGTTTATTAAGATTTTCTAGCCAATTAAAACAAAGAAAAATATATTCTTGATTATTATTCCATGAATATTTGATTATACTCATTATTTTGCCAAGTGTTGGTTCGCTTTCACCAAATCATGTGACTTCAACTATTTCACCAACTTTTAATTTTATATTATGATAATCACCATCAGGTTTAAGTATTGTAAATAAAACGTTTTCATAAAAGTGAACTCATGCTTCTAGTAAAGCTTGCTCAAACAAGTAGTATGAGGAGTACATTAGCAAAAATAAATAGGCGTAAACCTCTACAAGTTTTTACGCAAGCGTAAACTTATGAAAATTTATGATTAGTTCAGAGTATTACGTAGATGTAATAATTACGAAAGTTTACGCTATAGTAACTCCGAAATATTATGTAAATGTAATAATTACGAACATTTACGGCATAGTAAATTTAAATATAGCAAAGCATAAATAGTCGAAAACTAGCGAAAACATGCGTAAAACTATGAATATTTACAAACAACAAAAATAAAAATCATGCGAAATCATGTGAAAACTTGCGTAAATTTACATAAAGTAATAAGAGATTATGTATAAAAATATCAAAAAGAGCAAAAATATAAATTATAAATTAAATAAATTAATAATATAAAATTTCAAATGTAATAATTTTATTGTTTTGTAAATATACAAAAAAGTTGTAATAGTTTAGTAGTATTTGAAAAATTGTATAAAATATATTCTAAGTAATTATATAATACATAATTTTTTTGAAACAAATTAAAAATTTATATAATTAACAATATTTGAAGGAAAAAGAAAATATATGAAAAAAGTCGAAGTTTAATGCAAAAAGTCAAAAGAAGCTACTTGTTAATTGACAAAACCTAATAAATAAATAAAAAATAAAAAAATTAATAATTATTGAAGTATTTAAGAAAATTAAAAATATTTTGAAAAACTACGGAAAATTTAATGGATTTGCAAAATATAAAGATAAATCAAATATACATACATACTTTAAAAATCAATCATATATACTTTAAAAATCAATCAAACGCTATAAAAATAATATACAATAAATAAATTAATAAAAATTTACGATATTTTACAAAAAAATTAATAATTCTTAGCTTTTTTCGAAAGTTGTTAAAGTGATTTTTTCTGAAAGTTGTAGAGTACTGCAATTTTTCACAATTTGACAAATTAAAAAAAATGTGAACCTTCGAAATAGTCAAGAAATAACCAAATTATGCCGTAAAAAAAACTTCTATACTTAAAAATAATATACACTTTAATAAATTACGTATTAGGATCTAAAAACATAATAAGTTTTAGTAAGTAAACAAACAAAAAAAGTTTCAAATATATTTCTTGAAGACCTTCATATACTTTTAAAATATTTCGAAAACCTTCGTATATAAAAACTAAATAAAAGTTTTAGTAAGTAAACAAACAAAAAAAGTTTCAAATATCATAAAATATATTTCAAGAAGACAAAGACCTTCATATACTTTTAAAATATTTCGAAAACCTTCGAAAATTATAAACTAGTAAAGACTTTAGTAAACAACAAAATATCTTCAAAAAATTTTTTTGGCTGTAAGTATGCAAAGTCTTTCGTCAATTAAATTACTTTTGAAAAGTTGTATAAAATAAAGCAAATAAAAAATTTTAAAAAGGTATCAAAAATATTTGTCAAAAAAAAAAGTTATTCGACGTTTATCGTATAATGTAAAAAAAAAGATGATCATTGTTTATATAGTGAATTTTTTGATGATCACATGTATAACCACATTTATTTTATTATAAAAAAACATTTGTAAATTATAAAATATATTTAAAAAAATTATAAAAAATATTTAAAAAAAATCAAAAAAACAAAAGAATTTTAAAAAATTTTAAAATATGCATAACACTACACTATTATTTATCTGTTATTTTTAGCAGTTTTCTAACTTTTTTTTTGTGTTTTTTTTGGTTTAACTGCACTTGTAGCAGCAGTTTTTTGAACAACTTTAGCTTTTTTTTGTGTTTTTTGACTTGACAAAGTCTTATGATTTTTATAATTAAATTAATTAATAAAGTTAATTTACATAAAGTAAAAATATTGTTAAATTATTATATGAATTTAGAACTTACGCCTAATGATTCACCATGTTCTTCTCTGATAACTTGCATAATTCCTCATTTCCTTGAAGACTATAAAAATTGTATATAAAATGTTAGTTATAAAATTTATTTTTATTATAGTAATAAATTATAATAATTACTCTTGTTTCATGTGAGACTTCAGAACTTTTCGCGGTAGCTTTCTCTTGGGTACTTTGTACTTTAGATGCAACTTTCTGAACATTTTTTTTAGCCGATACAACCTTACTTTGTAATTCTGAAGTTGCTAGCGCAACCTTACTTTGAATATTGGCAATTTCCGAAACTTCACTAGATTTAGTTGTCTAAAAATTTTATAAGTAAATTAGTTATAAAATAAAAATTATCGTAATATTAAATAAAATAATTATAATACTTCAGAAACTGTAGTTGGGGCAGGAGGTTGCTGTTTTGGAGTTGCAGTTGGGGCAGGTGTTTTCTTTGGGGCAGGTGTAGTTGGGGCAGGTGTTTTCTTTGAGGCAGGTGGAGTTGGGGCAGGAGGCTGTTTAGGTTCAGAAGTAGGAGCAGGTGGATCCTGTGAATCGTCTTTCGCACTTCTGGAAGTGCTGTTGCTGCTGCTGCTGCTGCTGCTGCTGCTATCATTTTTGCTGTTACCATTGCCGCTACTGCTGCTACTGCTACTACTATCCGACTTGTTACTATCATTATCATCATCATTTGACTTTTTATCAGCATCTTTTTCAATATCAGAAACCACAAAAATACCACCACCATCAAGTATAGCCTACAAAATGTACAATATATAATTAAATTATGTAATTCATAAAAATCATACAAAAATTTTCGAATATTCTTACTTTTTTTTTTTTTTTTCTTCTTTTTTTTTACTTTGTAAAAAATATTCGAAACTTTTTAACAACTATAAAACTTAGACATAAAATTTTTATCTTATTTTTTTCTATTCGTTCTTTCATGATTTTCTCCTCAATAGTTATTTTTTCATAACCAGGGCTTGAGTTACACCAATAGTGAAAGCCAACATACCTGTTTTCTGCTCCCCTTTTGAAAATACTTTTTGCAATATTTGCGAAATGAACGTGTCATCTGGATCATTTGCGACTATTAGCAAAAATATTTTTTTATATGCCTCCTTTGTTTTTTTTGACTTCTTCCAATCTTTGATCTCCTTGGGGATAGCATTGCTGTCGATCTTTGTTAGCAAGCTATCCCCATATACCTCAAACACTGCATTTTTTACCTTAGTGATAAGGGAGCCGTGTTTGGAACGCATAGTCTTAAGAAGCTATAATAATAATTAAATATAATTAATATAAAAAAAAAAATTAAAACTTATAAAAAAAAATAAAATTATTTACCAGATTATAAAAATATTTTTCATAATATGTGTCACATTTTCATTTATTGTTCTTAAAGCCTTTTAAAAACTGCTTATTATTTTCATCTAAATAATCTTCGACTGCTACCTTAAGTTCTTGCTAAGTGGGGTAGACAGTTTTTTTAATTAGGGCATTTGCAGCACCCTTCATAGTTATCTATTAATTTAAAATACAAATAAATTATATTCAAAATAAGTTTATAAATTAGCATAACATTATAAAAATTTGCAAAATTATTCAAACTTAATTAAATTTATCTCCACAAATGACTGTTGTTTGCCGACATCTAAGGTAGCAAACAACTTATCCTTCACCGCCTTCAATTTAGTATCTATTTTCTTCTCTATCATCTCAAACCTCTCCATTAATATTTTATTTTGGTACATCAACTTACCAACTATATTCATCAACTTTTTAACCTCAGCTGAGGCAATTTGCGCTTATATAAATTAATAATATACTTCAAAGATTTATGTAGTTAAAATTACAAAAATTTACACAGTTTTCTAAATTAATGATAATAAAGTTTGTAAAACATAACTTTATTATCATTTATTAGAAACTGCGAAACTTTTTGTAATAAATTATCAATTAGCAATATTTAAAATGATTATTTAATTACATCCAGAATGAGAAGAAGAAGGAACAGTACGAGGAGGAACAGTAAAGGAAGCTATTAGAACTTCTTCTAGGGAAGATTCTCGATCAAAAAGCTCAATTAACGGAGCTTCTGCGGTAACTTTAGCCTTTCCTTTATTGCTCGAACCGCTCGAACCCTCACGATGCTCCTTTTTTGCTTTTTTTACTTTTTTAACTTTCTTTTGTTTAGGTGCAGTGAAAACCGAAGGACCAGCCTTAAAACTACCTGTGGTCATACAAGCAAACATTTTACTGACTTTTTTAGAATCTTTATAGTAAGACATTTTGAATTATTGATGAATTGCGAAAGATTTGAAATTTTGAATCAGCCAGGATCACCCCCAAAAGTTCGGGTGATGATCTACAGATCATACATATATGATAATTTGAAGGTACCACAGTAGCCGCCGATAATCAAAAATGTATTTTGGATAATCAAGAACTTCGACGTTCTATTGAAGCTTTTAGAAATTTGAAGCTTTTAGAAACTTCTAATCTTAACAAAAAAAGAACAAAAAAACTTCGAACTAGTTACACATCACCTTTAACTTTATAAGTAAGCTCATATTAAATATTATTTTATTTTAAAGAAATAATTATAATAAATTTCAAATTACAATGTAAGGTATATAACGATTTTAGTTATTCTATTTTTTTTTCTAATTCCGTTAGAAATCAACACAATATCATTAACTAATAATATTTCTACTTGCTCTTCTGGAAAGGACAAATATATAAGATATGGCTTTTTACTATTTTCTGAATTCCAAGTTGTCTGCCGTTTTCTACACTTTTCAACAGTTTGAATATCTTCTTCCATTTGTATTAGATGACTATATTTCATCATGGTACTAACTTGTCACCAATTATTAGCAGACTTTTCTGAACAGATTCATTGGAATGCCTGCTCAAATAACTCCCAGTTTGATTCAACATAAACACGGGCCTCTTCGTTTGGATCTTCATTTATATCAATGCCATAGTTATCTGGTAAGTTATCAATAGGAGCTTCAGCAACTTGAACCTGAAGTGCTGGGATATTGGTATTAAGATTATTGATAATAAGGAAAGGTGGTGTAGTACGACACTCAAACTCATTTCTAATCAAACATCGTCTTTTTCCATTAGGTATATTTACGCACTTTTGAACCAAGTGCTTACATAATAAGAAATGATTTTCAACGAAACTAGGGCAACTACATACCCAACAAGAAATGTCTGTATAGTACAAAGTAGAACTACTCGAATTAGTTGTTTCTTTATCATTACTCCTTTTTCTTTTCTTACTACTCCTATTAGCATGTAGTTTTACTCGTTCTTCATCACTTGCACTCTTATAAGTCCACTCCTTCTTGAAGTCCTCCCACCAGTATGGTTCTATTGCTCCACTTCGAATTTGCAAAAACCGATTCTTCTGCAATGGAATCACTTCATCAAGAAGTGTCTACACCAAGAGGTTTAGCCTAGGCTAGTTAAAACGCTGTAAGTAAAGTCATTTAAGGACACCCCAATGAGCCTCTATTTTCATTGTGGTTTTTCCATAAGGTACAGTCGGTTTGGCTGACCATGCCCAAAGATGCCATCGCCTTGTTGAGTACCAATTTGTCCAAAGATAGGACCAGAGCAACTATAATCCTTATATATTTTATTTTATTAGTAAGATTAATATTGAGGAAGATGCTAAAACTAGATTATGCTAAAATTTAAACTTATTTTAATAGTTGGATTAAGATTTAAGGTTAGGGTTTATAATTAAAGTGTATAGGTGGGTTTTAGTAGGGTTTATATTTTTAAATAGAGATTCTAAGTTTTAGCATCATCCAAGAATTAATATAATATAATCTAAAAGGATTAATTATTATACCATGTTCTATACAGAATCGATACATCTCCTCTACTGCAGTCCTTCTTATAGTCTCTGGTGACATCGTACCACCCTGTGCATTAATGGGTATAAATGGATGCAAGTCAAAGTGCCATTGTATAAGTTCTAAAATTTCTTCCTGAAACAAAGATGGACAAATAATATATGACTGTGGATTACGGTCTTCTTCACTTGAGTAAAATGTGAGATCAATAAAATCAAACTCTCTGGCAGCTTAATTGGCATTATATTTCACAGCTATTAATTCAACATTACTTGATCATTTTGCTTTTTCTTCAAGTTTACGTTTCACAGCTCGCTTTAAATGCCATGCACATAATTAGACAACAGAAACCCCTGACACTTTGGATGCAGCATTTATTTCTGTGAAGTCTTTATCAGTAAATACAAAATTTGGATTAATATTATAAGATTTCAAAATCTCCATAAGTCTTTCTAATATTGTACCACGTTTTTCTGTAGTGGCACTCGAATCTTTCGCTTTAGTTGTATCTATTATTAAATAAGTGATTGGAAAACCAGCTCCGTCTACATTAGCGATAACCCCATAAAGTTTATAGCACCCACATGTAGTTTTATATGTCGCATCTATATATATTTCAGTAACTTTAAAGGTAGATAATATTAAAAAAATTATTGCATTTTAAATTCTTACTAAATAAATCTTATTTAATTTTCTAGTTTATATTATAAAGACGATTTCTTAAAATCTTATTTATTTATTTTTATTATTTATTATTATTTTTATTTTTTATCTTTATATTTATTTATTTATTTATTTTTAGGAGTTCAAAAAAATTAATCTTTACCTTTAATGTTGAGATCATTAATGCTTTTCAATAATGGCGTTGTGAAGGCAATAGCGGTGGACTTTGAATCTTGTATATTTAGACATTGTTGGAAACCTTGATTTTTGTGTTCATTCAGAAGTCTACATGCAGATTCAACCGGATTATTATGACGCTGATATATAGCTTGATTTGCCATGGCCTTCCAATAGTATATGCGTTTATGAGAGTATTTTGAGATATCAAATCCATGATGTCATAGATGATTGGTTAATTGAACATAGTGAGGTGCGCGTATACTTTAATCTCTTTGCGTAATTCTTCTGACATTTCAATACAAGGATCTGGGCGTTCATAAAGAGATCCATGATAGATTTTCACTTTTGCAATGCCAAGAATGGTATCAACTCGTATTGTAATCTTTCTTTTACAATTGTAACATTTGCATCTCTTCCGATTTGAATCTATATATTGTTTACTTATAGCTTCATTTGACTAGCTATATATATTTGAATTTACAGACTGTATCACTATACTTTCTTGATTGGCCTATTTCATGATAGTTAACATACAAATATTGGTAATATGTAAAGAAAATATTAAAAAGGACAAGACAGAAAGAATTAAAAAAAAAAAACTTATGTTCATAAAAAATCATTATCACCTTCAATTTCAGTGATGACAAGGTTAGCAATTTTTTTTGCCATCATGTTTTGTGTATCTGAGTTTATTTTTACTAATAAATGTGCCTGGTATTCTTTATCAACTATGCTGTTGGCATTTTCACTTTCTGTTAACTCTTGGATTTCGTTTGAGATAAAGTTACCAACCTCAAGGTAATCGATTTCAACTTGCTTAGTTTCTTGACTACGATTCTTTTTACATACAATACAAGTTTTGTGGTGAGTACCATCCCAAACAAATTTGTCATCAAGATGCTTAACTTTACACTCACTGCATTCTTTCATTTTAGTATAAACTGGAAATTGTATATGTTGAAGTCAAATATCTATATAATGTGAGCTTTGG